TGAGACTATCTTTAAAACATTTTAATTGTGTTCTAACACACCTAGCCTCCTATGGCATTGCTATTCCTTTTTGTCCTCTACCTTTATTTATATATCTCTGGTTAGAAGTAAATGGAATTCTCCCACCATGTTATCCAATATAGCCGAAGAAATCTAATGAGTCAAATTAGAATGGAATTTTTAATAACTCCACTCAAAAGAAAATCCTCAGACTATCTAAGTAGCTGAAAGTAAAAGAAGTTGTAATAAGCTTAATAGCTTTTCCTATGTAAGTGCCAAACCATTTTGAAATAAATGTAATCCTTTAGTCCTCAAGCACCAAGTCTATTGATCCCTGGCTTTTATCAAAAAACACACCTTACTCAATGTGCCTATGGGGAAAGAGTCCAGATCCACTATTAGCGGGCAAGAGCCCCAGTTTTCCTGCAGTGTTTTTGGTTTCAGGTAAGCCAAACAAATCCCAGGTCCAGCTCCAGTCCTTATTCTAGTGATATAGACTTGTCCTTGTGAAGGTCACTGGAGCTTGGTACATGTAATCTCTTGTGCATTTAATCTTTTTCTAATTTGTAGCACAGTTTTGCACATGTGTTTTCTCCCCACTATATTGTAAACTCCCATTGTCTTTCTAGATGCCTTGATAGTGTTTGCTGAATTGAATTAAGGAGAGGGAATAGCTTTATAGACCTTTATAGACCTTGGAGTCTATATCTGTTATTAGATTTCAGGAATCTATTAACTTTGAGGAAAAAAAATCACGTCTTTATTTTCACTAACTTCTAACTGAAATTTAACATTTCCTTCAATTATGGGTTTAAAAGACAAAAAATTATTCTAAGAAGAGGTACGTAGGTTTTACCAGATAGCCAAAAGCTATCTGAAAACAAACAAAAAAAAGTTAAGCCCTGTGATAAAGAATGTAGTAGGAAAAAACCCTACCTATCAGAGTCAAAGCTTCTGTTAGTTACCTTAGTTAGGGTTTTTGTTATATTTGATAGATTTTTTTCATAGCCCTAAATTCCATAGTTTACCAGATTATTTCCCTTGAAAAACACCTTTTATATCATAGGGGGACTTACAGCCTAATTATTACTTCAGTTTAACAATGCAAATCTTATCTAGCTTCTCCTCTTCTATGTCTGCATTTGCTGGCCACTGCCATAGCAATTATGGCACAGAGTAAATAATTCCTGAAATTTTATAAGTGAAACTTGGGACTTTCTCCCTTATTTGAGATGTGTCCCATCACAACCACCAGTTACCTTGTACTGCACATTTGTGTACCATGCCATAACTACATACTTCACCATGATAACTTGATCATTGTTATTAAAATATTAAGGTATCAGTGTTAACATCCACAGAAGCATGTGTACCCATATTCCTTTTCATAAACATAACTACAGACTTGAATATAAGTGTTATTTGTTAAATACTGAGGAAATATGTTTCTTTAAAAGCCATTTCATATACCTTTCTAGTAGAGGTTAAATAGTATGAAAAGTAAATATAGGGGGAAAAAACAAACAAAATAAAAATATCACTATATTTGAGAGCCTCCAACCCACAAGAGAAATGGTTATTATCAAACTACTTGTAGAATCTGTAATCATATTACATAATAACATTTGTAAAGTACTTTAAGGTTTCCAAAACATTTTTATGGACATTGTCATATAATCTCACAACAACCCTTTGAGACAATACTACAAGCATTATTCCATTTTTATAAATGAGCAAGCTGAGGCTTGAAAGTTAAGTGGAGTGTCCAGAGTAATATCCCTAGTAAATATCAGATGTGGTATTTGAACCCAGCTCTTTCTTAAGTCCAGGTTCCTGATACCCTTTCCCAAGTATCCTTTCCACTATATCAGTGATTGATAGGCAAAAAACCCACAGGCACATCTGGCCCACCACTGGTTTTTGTACACCCTGTGAGCTGAGAGTGTTTTTTACATTTTAAAATAAAGCTTTATTATATTTTGAAATGTAAAAACCATTCTTAGCTCACTCACTGTAGAAAAACAAGTAGCAGGCTGGATTTGGCCCTTAGGCCAACCCTGGTACTATATCATACTTTTAGGGGATTATATTGTAAAATTAAGTTTTAAGAGTATAGTTTCAATTCAACAAATACTTGTTAAGTGTAAGATACCGTGCTTGACTTGGAACAGGAAGATAGAAATAAAACACAACCTTCACACAATGAGCTTATATTACATTAGGGTGGTACAGCATATAAAAATGCATATAGTACAAGGAAAATTGGGTGAAGAGAAAACTAATAACTGAGGGGATCACAAAAGGCTTCATGGAAGGAATGACCCCTAAGCTGAATCTTAAAGCAAGACAAGAATCATGAACAACAGAAACAAGTGGTGAGGGCATTCTGGACATAGGGAGCAGCTTGTACTAAAGCACCCAGGTGGGAGAATGTCTAGTTGAAGGAGTATCTGATAGTGAAGGATGGCATTCTTAAAGGGGAATAATATGAAATGAACCTGGAAACGGTTATGTGAGTCAGATTGCGAGGAGGAAGTGGGGGTAGGCCTTCAATGCCAGGCTGAAACTAAAAGCAGGACAAACCACTTAGGAGACTATTACAGTAATCTGAATGAGAGCTGATGAGGGCCTGAACTAGAGAGGTATCTGTGTGAGCAGAGGCTTAATCAACAAAACTTGACCACTAATTGGTGGAAGGATATGGTAACTTGGCAAAGCTGGTGGGAGGAGGGATATGGAAGGGTTAAGGAAAACTCTGAAGTTGATAACATGGGCAATTTGGAAGATGCTGGAAACAGGAAAATCTGGAGGAGGGACAGAGTTAGGAGTAAAGAAAAGATAAGTTTGGTTTTAGACAAATTGAGTTTAAGGTACTATGTCATACCCAGGAAGAGGTCGTGTAGCAAGTAGTTGATAGTGTAGGGCAGGAGTTCAAACAGAATATTAGGGCTGGAGATATAGGTTAAGATTTGTTAGATGTGATCCTTAAATCTGAAGAGCAGATGAGATCACCAAGGGTAAGAGCATAGAGCAAGAAAAGAGGGCACAGGACAGAATCCTAATCTCATAAATCATAAGTATATAGAACTCTGAGGGACTTCATAGGTCATCTAGTCCAACTACCTAATTTTACATATGAAGAAACTGAGGACTGATAAAGTTATACAGTTTGCCCAAGGTCATACAGGTGGTAACAGCAGAGGCAGGATATACTATGCTAAAAGAATGGGAAATGGAAACACTGAGAAGTCATGTTAGCCGATTAGAGGAAGACGAGAAAGAGTAGTTACAAGAGTGCCCAGGAGGAGAAGGAAGTTAAAAATTTTGGAGAGAACAGTTTTAGTTGAATTGTGAATGAGAAGCTAAATTTCAAGAGGTCTAGTCCTGAACAAGTACTGAATCTAGACATTTGTAGAAGTCTGTAGCAGTGAAAGGAAGGAAAGATAAGAAGACAATAGTTTAAAATTCAAGATTACCATGTAAATGGAACAGATATTAAGTACCTACTATTTACAAGTTATTGTGGCAAAGTCAAGTGGTTTGGGTGGTTGTTGTTTTTTTGTTTTTTGTTTTTTTTAATGGGATAGCATGGTCAGATAAGTAGGAGGAGAACCAAGAGAGAATAGTCACAGAAACACAAAGAAGGAAGTGTAGTCAACAGTGTCACGCCCTTCAGAGAGGTCAAGAAGAATGAGGCTTGAGAAAAGGCTATCAGATTTGGCATTTGAGAGATGATCAGTGGTAACTTTAGAGAGAGCAGGCTCAGTGAGGTAGGTTAGAGGCCAGATCTGAAGGAGTTTAAATGTGTAAGAGGAAGGAAAGTGGCAAGCAAAGAATAGAAACAGCTCCTTCTCTGGGTTTGGAAATTAAAAAGATAGAGAGATATGGGAAGAGTTTTTAAGGAAATGGGCAATTGTGGGAGCTACTAGACAAATGGAAATAAACGATTAGAGAGGAAATAATTATTGTTGGGGCAAAAGACAAGAGAGGATGTGATCAGAGGTATAGAGATATTATAACCCTTGATGAGAAGACCACCTTTATCAGATTTGGAGTAAAGAATGGGGAATGATATTGGTGGCTTTTGAGATCTAAGGTAGAGAAGAATGACCTGAGGGAAATGGCCTCAAGTTTCTTTTTGTTGTTGTTGGGTAATAGTGGATTTATCAAATACCGACAGACACCAGATGATTTGGTCAGATATCAAAGAATGGGTCTCCTCATCCCTTTCATAAATGATCCAATTAAAGTAAACATGTTGGCTATAAAAATTGAAACCAATAATGCACTTTTCACTGACAACCCTTTGAACATAAAATCGGTAGTAAATAACAAAGGGAAAATTTCAAGCAATTAGGAAATCTAATTGGTCAGTTGGAGGGTATTTGATGTTAGTTGAGAAAAGGCTTCTAGTGGAGTCAAGCTCTTGGATTCAATTTGCAGATTTAGTAGATTTGTAGATTTCTGTTGACATCCTTTTTTTTTAATCACCTAAATTTCTCCCTTTATCCCTCACCTTCCTCCTCCACAAAAGCATGCCTTTGCTAAGAATAGAAAAAAAGTGGAAGGAGGGAGAAGAGAATCAGAAAAACCAGTCAACATATTGAAAAAATTTGATGCCATATGCACTGTTCCATACTTCTGACCCCCCCCTTCCTCTTTGAAGGAATAAGGGGAGGAATCTTTTCATATTTGTTCTTTGTAGTCAGATATGATCATTATGTATTTTATTTACATTCACTTTCAATTATTTAGTTGTTATTGTGCTTTCCATTTACATTGCTGTACTCATTGTGTTTGTTGTTTTCCTTGTTCTCCTTGCTTCACTTTTCAACAGTTCATGTAAGTCTTTTCATGCTTCTCTCTATTGACCAGGTAGATTTATATCTTGTTGGCCAGGTGCTGTTTTTTGTTGCCATGAGCACAAGCAATCCTAGAATAATCTTGTGAAGTGAAAATCTAGTTTTTTTAACTGTGTTAAATATCCATTTACTCCTCAGAGGAAGATGATGCTTCAGATAATGCTGTTGCTGAATATCGAAGAGAAAAGAAAAAATATGAAGCTTTAAAGAAGCAACAGCCAAAAAAAGGATCATCCCGGGAAGAACAGGTAACTGTTCAGAAGCCTTTCCAGAGACATGCCTGAAAGGGTTGGCTACATCTTGATTTTACGTTGAATGTATCTTAATTTGATTATGGAAAAGTAGCATAGTATAGAAAGTAGTGAAAGAGCCAGACTTGGAGTCAGGAAAGCCTGGATTTAGGTTCTGCCTTTAATACATCCTGGTTGTGTGACCCAGAGCAAGTCTTAACTTCTCAGTGCCTCAATAAGTTTCAGAGTAGGCTCTGCATTAGCAGAGGAAATAGTTCCCTATTCCAATGAAATCATCAGTTTGAACCCAAAAAAAAAATTTTTTTTAATTCTTTGTCTGGAAAGTACTGCCTCTCTAGAAAGAACCTTAAAGAAACTGTCGAAGGAAAAACCAAACTGTGGTGTAGATGAATTTACAGATGAATCTTATCAAACATTTAAAGATCACTTAGTACCTCTAATGCCCAAGTTATTCTTAATAGCTGAGAAACAAAGCATCCTACCAAACTCTTTTTATTAGACAAATACAATTCTTATACCTAAACCAGAGAAAGAATTCCATAAACCAATTTCACTAATGAATAGTGATGTAAAAATATAAATAAAATCTTAACAAAAAGGCTACAGCATGAAATCCAAATAATCATTCACTATAACCAAGATAGATTTATACCAAGCATCGAAAGAAAAGATATACTGTTGATTACCTGAAATTGAAAAGTTATTTCATGGACAAAATTAGTGTACTTAGGATAATAAGGGAAACTATAATTTGGAGGGAAATCTTTGCATAAAATGTTATATCCAAGGTATATTGGGAATTAGTCTAGATAGGTAAGATCAAGAACCTTTCCCTGTAAAATAAATATTTCCCTGTAAAATAAATAGTCAAAGGATGTGAACAATTAGCAAATAACCACCAGCTATTAACAACCATGTTTAAAATTGCTCCAAGTCACTAATAATAAGAGTAATGGAAATCCAAACAGTTTGTCTTACCCAGAAAATTTACAAAAATGACAAAAGATAGAAATAATGAATGTTAGACTCTAGAAAAGCAGTCTCGGTAATGCACCGTTGATGATGCTGTGAATTGTCCTACCATTCTGCAAAACCATTTGGAATTATGCTTAAAAACTTAGTAATATGACCATAACTTTTGGTTTGGAGATCCCACTCTTAGGTCATAGGTAGCAAGGAAGTTAAAAACAGAAAGAAAGGTCACATATACATGTATGTACATGTACATATCTATGTATCAATTTAGGCTTACAGGGTGACAGCCATGCAGAACCACAGATTGTCAGATCCTTTGGAATCACAAAACCCAGTTCTTCACATGCCAGCTTGCCATATTGGCATAGCCATCTAGCTCCAGTGAATATCTCTTTGGGATTCTGACCTAAACAAGATTTGGGATCACAGACTGGCACAGTAGCACCAATATAGAATGCTTTTATTTCCATTGCAGGTGACATTTGATGAAGCTGAAAAATATCAGAAGCAAAAAACAAAGAAAGAAAAGAGACAGGAAGCCAATCTACCATTTCCACAATTAGCATAGCATTATAGTCAGTGGGATATTTAAGACTTAATGGAATGAACTTCTCATGCTGTGCATCATGTTAGGTGGTTGCCTTTAACTGCAGCACTCCAAAAAGCCTGTGTTTATTTTCAGTGTGGCTATGTACATCCTGCTCTCTCTTCTCAAGCTACTCCAGTTGAAGAACCATGCCTATTTAGTCACATAAATAAAGTAGACAAAATAAAAGTGAACTTAATCGGTATCACCCTATTTTGATAAATTAGTCTAATCAGGAACTACATAATAAATGATACCTAGTTACTGTTGAGAAAAGTTTATGCTTCATTGCTTAGCTATGAAATCAATCATAGAAGTTTCAACAGAAAAATCAGATAGAGGAAATTGTAATTGTAGAGAATTAACCTACTATATACCATTCATGAAAAAGAAGTAGCACATCACATGGAGCTGACAAAGCGTACATCATTGCCTTGTTCCCGTTAGAATTGAAGAAGCACCTAGTCTAGTAGAAAGAGTACTGGGCATGAGGTCAGGATACCAGAATTCAAATCCTGATTATTCCCCTGGCTACCTATGTGACCTTGGGCAAGTCACCCAAGTATCAGCTCCCTCCTTTGTAGAGCAGAGGTCATAATACTTACAATGCCTACCTCACAGGGTCATTAGGAAGATCCATTAGACATTGTATGTAAAGTGTTACACCACTATAAAGAGTTGTCTGTAAAATCCATTAAATGGTTTATTTTAGAAAGATGGTGGTGACTCTACCACTGCAATTTACTAAGAAATAACCCTCATGCAAAGGAGACCTTGTTGACCCAGTGAATATGGTCTTCTACGGCACATGTCTTTGGAGCAGCTTCTAACAGGATTTTGTTGTGGTGAGGAACCATGCTGCAAGTGGTTCATCATTCATTCCTTCTGGGAAAGCCAAAAGAAGGAGCAATTGATTCTTCTGTGGGTGCCAAGTAGTGATGCCTCCATGCAGATCCTCTCCAACCCAGCCTCAAATCTGCCCTGTTCTAGTTCTGTTTGCTTTTCTGCCCATTGTCCTCTATTGCCTTTGTAAAACAGCCAGAGAGAAGCAAATCTCAAACTCAGGAGGCCTTTAACAAAGGCCAGGGGTATGTTTTTCATTCGTTACCACCCCATCTCTCTGAGCACATGCTAACCCCACATCCACTTGGCTCTGAGGGCAGACCGCCAGGCCCCTTTCAATTTAAGAGAAAGATGCAAGTTTAATCTCAGTTTCTAGAGAGGTCTCAAGTCCTGCATCTGCAAAAAGAGGGGCCTCCACAGTTTTCTCCATGCTCCACGGAGATGAGGCTTTCAGGTATATGAGATGTCTGTTGCTTTTTAAAAATAATGAGAGTTTAAAACAGTGGATTCTTCTTTAGTCCAATTTGGCTAAAGTGTAAAATACGGAGAGGAGAGTTTGGGACCAAACCTGGGATTCTATCAGTTTAACAAAGTCTCAGTGTGGAAACTCCAAGACTGCAGATCAGTAATTCATCTGTTACTTATAATCTTAGAGAGCTGCCCAGGGGCAAAAAACCGAAAGTTACTTTGTATTTATTTTACATGTACTTTTATATGTACCTTGTCTATGTCAATGAAATGCAAGCCCCTTGAGGGCAGGGACTATTTCATTTCTGTCTTTCAATCCCTGTTGTCCGGAATAGTGCCTTACATGTGGTAGGCACTTAATAAATTCCTACTGAGTGATTGATTGATGTGAGATATTTATGGAAAGTTAGGGTGATGTCACAATTCCTTATGGCTTTATTTTTTATAACAGAAAATGTTTCCCAGATCAGTCTAAATATTTACTCTCCGTTTAACTCTATCTTCTGCGACAATGCATCCACAACCATTTTGATAAGGAACAAATTTGACTATACTGAAGACTTAAACTAGGAGGGGCTTTTGAAATCAGTCAACAAGCATTTGTTAAGCCCCTGCTTAATTTAAAATGGCTACAAGCCAAGACTGAAGTGGAGGGAGAGTCAGTGTGTGACCTTTTGTTTGCAGATGATTGTGCACTCAATGCTGCTTCTAAAGCTGAGACACGACATAGATCAGTTCTGGGCTGCTTATGCTAACTGTAGCTTAACAATTAACTGGTTCTCCACCAGCCAGCACCACACCATCCACATTTGGAAACATCAGTTACAACAAATGAAGAACCTTGAAGACTGTGGATAAGTTCACTTACTCAGCAGTATACTTTTCAGGGATCTACACATAGATGATGAGGTTGACACTCACATTGCCAGAGCTAGCTCAGTGTTTGGGAAAGAAAGTGTGGGAGAGAAGAGGTATCAGACTACCTATCAAACTGAAGGTCTACAGAGCCATTGTGCTGACCTCATTGTTGTATGCCTCTGAAACCTGAACTACATACCGGTGCCATGCCAGGAAACTGAATCACTTCCACTTGAATTATCTTAGGAGGATTCTAAAGACCACCTGGCAAGATAAGGTACTGGACACTGAGGTCTTTTCTGGAGCTGAACTGCCAGTCTTTCAAACTCTGCTTCAGAGAGCACAACTCCAAAGGGCTGGCCGTATTGTTAGAATGGCAAAAGTACATTTGCCTAAAAGACTATTTTATGGAGAACTCACACAAAGCAAGTGCTCACATGAAGGTCAGAAGAAGTAATACAAGGACACTCTCAAAGTCTCTCTGAAGAACTTTGGAATTGATTGTGAGATATGGGAGACATTGGCACAGGCCCTACCAGCATAGCATATCCACATCAATTGCAGTATCTCAAAAGAAACATGAGATGTACAAATTTAGAGCCATCTCCACTCCAAATGTCACGTGGACTATTTGTGCCCAACCTGTGGTAGAGCTTTCTGTGCTCATACTGGTCTGATCAGCCACAGTTGGACACTCTGTAGCTTGACCCCAACATAGTGATGTGATTTTTTTCCTCTTTGAGAACAAAGGACAACTGAAGCCCCTGCTGTGCTCCAGGCACTGGGATTTACAAAGCAAAGAACAGCACAGCCATGTAATCCGATCTCCTGATTTTTCAGATGAAGAACCTAAGTCACTGAGAAGTCCAGTGACTTACCCAAGGTCACACAGGTATTAAGTGGCAGAACCTGGATTTTAACCCAGCTTGCCTGACTCCAAATAGAATTCTTTTTTCCCTGTGCCAGACTGCCAGAAAATAGAGAAAGAACATTAGCTTGAACTCCTCATGATTTTATTTTTAAATTGATGAGAAACATTAGCGTAGCACATACAATAGAATCTCTGTGTACCCTGTGGTTGATGGGCAGTACATCATCTACAGAAATGTAAATCTCTATCTCTTCAAATCCATAATGTCTACCAGCTCTCTTCATGTCTTTGTTTTCAGACTGCCACCTCAAATGTGAGCATTAAACTTTGCAGAGTGATGTATGGCATAGGATCTGGAGCTGGAAGGAGCTGAATCTTGAGATTAGGACTTAAGTCGTCGGGTCCAGTCTTTTCATTTTACAAATGAGAACATGTAGGCCCAAAGCAGGAGGTGAAGTGAGGTTCCTTGTTGAAGATCACATAGATAGCAAGCAGCAGAGCTTCAAACCCAGGTCCTCCTTTCCAGATCAAGTGTTTTCTCTCTCATACGGGTGGCAAAATCACACATTCGCGCAGTGACTATTAACTGAGACTCATTGCGCACACCACACATGAAAATCAGCCTCCTTATAAATCATATCTTGTCCATTGCTGCCTTACCACACTACCCATATCAATAAGGAATTCAGTATAAGAAGAAACTGTGATATGATCTCACCTAATCCTCAATGACACAGGAAAGGAATTATTTGTAACATGTTTAACATATTCTTAGTCCCTTCCTTTCCCCCACCTCCCAAACCTTAGTCTTCAAGAACCCACAGTCAGCTTCCACACTCTGATGAGGCATCAAACTAGTATTTTGTGCGTGTAAACATCTGGGGGAAAAAAAAAATAAACAAGCCCATCACTGTTGCTTACAATCAAAATTTGGGCCTTCTGCTGTTGACTGTCTTTAGATTCTAGAACTGATACTATCTCTCTCACTTAAGATCTACTAAATAATTGGGGGGCAGGGGGAGCAACACTCCATTAGTAACTATATGCATGTTAAGCTGTCACATATGTTTTCTAATAATGTGTACTTATTTAAGAGACTGGGCATATCGGGATATTGATTAGTCACTTAATTTTTTTAAAAAATGTTTTATTGTCTTTTCCTTTTTGTACGTTATTATCATTTTCAGTTGACTCCCTCCTTCCTTAGTAGAACCCTCCCTTTTAATAAATAAGTACAACTAAGTAAAACAGATAAATACATTGACCATGTCTGGCAATATATGCCTTATTCCACACATAGAGGCCATTATCTCTCTGCTGAGAGATCAGAGTTCTACAGTCTTTTCATGTTGTTTCTCTTTATATTATCATGATCATTGTGTAAAATGTTCTTCCAGTTCTGTTTACTTTTTTCTTAACCAGGTCATTCTCATCTTCCAAAATTTCTCTCATTTCTTCATATTTGTCATTTCTGACAGCGAAGTAATGTTGTGAAGTAATATTACATTTCATTCATATACCGTCATTTGTTCAGCCATTCCCAAATCAGTGGACACTCACTTTCATTCCAGTTCTTTGCTACTAAAACTGTACTGCTATAAATATTTTTGGTACACATGAACCTTTCTCTCTTTCTTTGACCTACTTGGAGTATATGCCAAGTAGATATCACTGGGACAAAGGCTGTGTACAGTTGATGACCTTTAAAACTCAATTTCAAATTGTTTTCAGAACAGTTGGCCTAATTCACAGCTCTTCCAGTCTGTTTATTAGTGTGCTGGTCTTCACAACCTCTGTAACATTTCCCCTTTTTTCCGTTGTTGTCTTTGCTATCTGATGGGTGTGAAGTAAAGCCTTCTATTTGTCTTACTATTCATTTGCCATACTATTAAAATTTTGGAGCATTCTTCCTTATGGTTACTGATAGTCTGCATTTCTTCTTTTGAAAATTGCTTGTTTGTGACTTTTAGCCTAATCACCTAATTTTGTGATTGGTGTTATTCTGCTCTATTTTCTTTTCCTCATTGTGCACAGAAGCACAACAAAGTATCCATTAACCTTCATGGAAAAGATTGTCTCCTCAAATTGAATTTTATACCTGGTGAAGTAGAGAAATGTTAAGTTAGAAATCATGCATCCATTGTGAGTAGCAGGGAATTAAAGATTATTACTAAATCACTTTAACAAATCACAGCCTCTTCTGCACCCCAGATGCCCTAGGAACTACATGTGCATGAGAACTGTTGCTCCGCTCCTAGCAGAGTTGGAATTCTTTCTGCCCCATCTCCTGATTTATAAACTTAGCCCACTCTAGGTTTATGCAAGCTTGGTATCTAGCCTATAAGTTGGAGAATCAAATTCATTATTCCATTTTAGGAATTTCATTAACTTAAAAACTTGCAGATGTGGGATTCTATATTTTCATTTTGTGTTTCTGGCAATATAGAGCACTGGACTGTCAGAGAACTGGAATCTTACTTCCAGCATTGATGCTGACTTGCTCTGCTACCACAGGCAGCTAGCTCACTTAGGGTCTGTGTCTGCCCAGCTCTTCATTGGTAAAAATAAGCTGATGATAGTTACTACTTCTACTTATTTTTAAGAGATATTATATGATCAACCCAAGAAAAAAATTCTACAAAATAAAGATAAAAGATGAGATGGCATATCTACTGTACAGATTTCTTCCAATACTTTAGTGGTGTGACTGCCTGACCCCACAGCCAAGTCTGGGCTCTGGCGGAGGACGTAGAGGCCAAAAGCAGGGGAACTTAATAGGTGAATGTTTAATTATGTTTTTTCTAAATGTATCCCATAGTCATGGGGCAGCTAGGTGGCGCAGTGGATGGAGCACTGGCCCTGGAATCAGGAGGACCTAAGTTCAAATCCAGTCTCAGACACTTGACACTTACTAGCTGTGTGACCCTGGGCAAGTTACTTAACCCCATTGCCTAGGCAAAACAAAACAAAACAAAACAAAAAAACCAACCAAACAAACAAAAAAGCATTTATTATTAGCTGTGTACCCTGAGCAAGTCACTTAACCCCAGCTGCCTCACCAAAAAGCAAAAAAAAGGCAAACATATCCCATAGTCAAGTGAAATGATATCTGGGTCATTTTAATGAATATGTGTCTGATCACCTTAAGTGTAGACAATTGAGAGTTGGCTATATATGTGATAGACCTATCTCTTGGTAAAACTGTAAATATAAAAAGATAAAACAGTTGTCTTGCTGTTCAAAGTGTTGTGTCAGTAAGATAGTTAATATGAATGTGAGAAATGTAGAAAATTTTAAATATAAATTTACCATTTATGCAGAGTAAATTTATGTACTGAAGCTCCCAAAATTGAGTCTCTTTTCCCCCACCTCAAAACATTAAACAGAGAGGAGAAAGTTTCCTACACAAAACAGAGCCATCATCCGAGACTGAGAAATCTCAGTGCAAATCTAGAAAGAATTCATGTAGACAAGATCTTCATAGTACATCTCATAACTTCTGTCTAGTTCTCAATCTCAAGACATTTTATGTGAATGAATTCATAAAGAAAACATGTATTAAGCACTTACTGTGTGCCAGGTAGAACTGTATCCAGGAATTATACTACCATAAGGATTTGATTTCATTTATACCTAATGTGATTTTCTCAAATAATAATAAATATTTTTAAAAGCAGCAATATCATTGTTAATTTTTTGACTTTATTGTTATTTCAGACACTGGCATTGTTGAATCAGTTTAAATCTAAGCTCACTCAAGCCATCTCCGAAACTCCTGAAAATGAAACTTCTGAAACTGAAGTGGAAGATGATGAAGGATGGTAAGGGCTTTGATTTATTGAAATTAACTATTAAAGGGGCAGCTAGGTGGCGCAGTTTATAGAGCAGCGGCCCTGGACTCAGAAGGACCTGAGTTCAAATGTGGCCGCAGACACATGATACTCACTAGCTGTGTGACCCTGGGCAAGTCACTTAACCCCAATTGCCTTGCCAAAAAATCAAAAAAAAAAAAGCTGACTGGGAATTTAATTCAGTGCAACAAACATGTATCAGTTACCTACAGTGTTCATATCACCATGCAATCCCTAGGTGTTGAGAGAAATATGAAGTCAGATAAAATGTGGTCCCTGTTTTCATGGAATTTGAAGACTAGGAAAAGGGGATACCACACATGAACAAATAATTATGATACAAAACAGTATGTGGTAAGTGCATGAGAGGTGCAGGCAGAATTTTTGGTGAGCTCTGAGGTGGAAAAAGCCATTGCCTCCTCGGAGGAATGCACATGTGGTGAGTGGGTTTTAAGAGGTATGTAGAAAGTCAGCAGGTAAAGAGGAAGAAGGGGATTCTAGGCATTAGAAATGGTGTAAGCAAAGACTTGGAGTCAGGAAAGTAGCATGAAATGAATGTGTGGAGTTTGGAAAAGCAGAGGATGCTCCTCTGAACTAAAGCAGCTTTGGAAACATTTTCTCTCCTCAGGGGATGGCTCTGTTCATGCTTCACTTGTTGGATTGGCAGCATATTAAATTCTGCTCCTGGCTTCCTTTCTGATACCTAGAAAATCTTCTATTTAGATAACAAATAATGAGCATTGGTTCATCTAAAGCAATATTTCCCAGACTACAGACTACTTTTGAGCTTGAAATGTATCAATGAATCCATAAATGCTGTTGGTGGGGGAGGGTGGGTTTGTGGAATATCTCTAGAAGAAATGGAAGTTAGGGAAATTGCGGAACAAAATAGAAGACATTTTTCATACCCACCCCCCATCATCTGTAGCAAGCATTTTTATATATAACTTCATATTTAATCTTTAGAAGGCAAAATATTGATACCATTGAAATTTTCTCGTGGAATCCATATTTACTTTGCATGGAACACCAGGTTTCCATGAAATACAGTTCAGGAAACACGGATCTAGTCTAGCATCCTTATCTTGCAGATAAAGGAAACAAGACCTAGTGCAGTCAGTTGGCTCATGAGGAACAATGACTAGGCTCCAGATCCATGAGTAGTACCCAAGTTTCTTAACCTTCAGTCCAGTGCTTCTTCCTCTCCATCGTACTACTTATTGTCTCAACCTAAGTAGGAAAGCTTCAGTTTCCTCATACATCAAATGGGGGGATGGCATTGCTGACACACTCATGAAATTAAATTAATCATCAGTTTTTAAGGACAAGAAATGTCCATCCTAGAAGCTCAGACCAGTATTTTAACTTCTTACCTGGAACTTCCTTAGTGTCATAGGATTCAGAGGTAGAAAATTCTTAAGAGATTATCTAATAAAATCTCCTTTTAAAAGATAAGGAAATGGAGGCCCAGTAAGATAAAACGATCTGTCTAGAGTCATACAAATAGTAAATCACCAATTTAGGATTAAAATCCCAATTTTTGGCACCCTCCTGGCTCAGAGTGAATGTAAACAGTAACTGTTACTCTTTTGGCCAGCAACCCTGAGGGTCTTCCCCTCTCACTTTGATTTATGATGATGATGATGATGATGAAAGGGGCTATCCCTTGACTCACTTCTTAAAGAGGCCTATTCACTGATTGGTAGTTGCCTCACTCGAAGTGAGAACTTGAAAAGACCTTAGCTTGAAAAGGCCAAGGTCTCCCTCTGCATCCTGGACATCTTCAGTCCTCCTGATCAATATATGGCCACTGCACCCAGATGGCTTTGCAAGAGAAAGTGAGGGTGGTGACTTTGCACAGCCCTCCCTCACTCATTCAATTGCAAGTCATGTCATCATCTCCCTGATGTCATGGTCCTCTTCAAGAACGAAGAACAAACCACAACCACCACAAAATCCACAGCTCCAGGGTGCATCTTCAGTCATTTAGAACAGTGGTGCCAAACTCAGATAGAAATGGGGGCTACTACATAAGGATCCCTGTAGACTGCTTATTGACTTAAAAAACCACGTATCAACAATATCTATATTGTAGTTTTATTTATCTTGTCAAATGTTTCCCAATTACATTTTAATCGGGTTGGGCCATGTTCAGGAATGTTGTGGGTCTCTCCAGGTTTGACATCTCTGATTTAGCGTGTAGCATTATAATACTGATCCTTTATCAGACAGACTGATGAGCATAGGTAACGGGACGTCTTAATCTAGAGGCAAACCTTCATAATTTACTTTTCTTTTGTTAAGTAAAAGCAATCTCCCAAAGGTGTCGTCTGTCCATTATAGACCCAAAGAGCTCCCCTAACATATGCCTTCTCTTCTTCATGCTCCTCAACATTTAAAAACCTATTTATTAATTCTGTAATATTGAATCTTTCTTCAGATCTCTACTTCCTGTCACCATGTTTGTCTTTTGAATACCTCACTGGCTTTTAAAGCCATGTTATGAAATAATGAATATGAGAGCACCTACTTCTCTTGTTCTTAACTTTTATTCAGTGATGGCCAAAGAAAAAAATGAGAATTTTTCTTTTTGTCATCAAACTGTTCTTTCCTCAACTTTGCTTATTGTGTAGTATACAAAGCCTCCTCTAACCTAACCAGCCTTTTCTCCCACTACACCCTGGATCAATTTCTTTTCAACAAGCTAAGCAAATTAACCTCCCACACATATGATTCACCTCTCTAGCCTTTGGGCCATCCATATGCCATAGCTGCAGCCTGAAATGAAATATTCCTTCCTCTCCACCAAACTGAGTATTTTCCCTCTTTGAGCATCCTACTCTTGACTCAAGTTCTTCATAAAATTAGTCAATCAACAGGTTGGTTGGGCACTAGCAAGTTAAGAGTCCTGAAGGAGAAATTCAAAGATGAATGTCCACTGCCCTTGAAGAGGAGTTTACAATCTAATGGGGAAATCTGGGGAGAATCCACATAAGAGTACAAAACATAAGAATACAAACAAGTGCAAACTTGACATATATTTGGAACTTTATAAGTATTTGGAGATGTTGGTACAAATCAAATGATAGAGATTAATCCAACCTCACTTAGCAAAGCGACCTGAGAGAGGGATAAGAAACAGCATGTGCCAGACAAGCCAAACCACTGTTATCACTTCATCCACCACTTCCCTTCAGACTTTGATAGAGAACCCAAGGGCACTGGAAATAGCAGTGCCCAACGGTCTATAGCCTGGCCTCTGTAGCCATCATTGATGGAATCTGGAGGAGAGTATCTTTGATATGGTTATCACCAGCCTCTGACCAGCTACCACCAGTGAGGAAATAAGCCAAAGAGCCCTAGGAAAAGAATCATCTTCTCTCTCCCAGATTCCTGTTCTGCTAGAAAGTCCAGCCCACAGGGAAGCAACCCTAGTGGAGATCAGCAACCGTAGACACCAAAGACTCAGAAAAGAAAATTTTCCCCACCAGAGTCCTTGTCACCATCAGAAAGTTCAGCGCCAGAAAAGGATATGATTTTGTCAGAGGAAATGACATTAAAGATGTGTTACCATCTTCTTTGCTTTTGCACTCTAAGGATCATTGGACTTTTCCCTCTAATTTGCAGTAGACACCTCCTGTATGTATCATCTCCCCCTATTTATATGTGTGCTTCTTCAGAATAGGGATAGTTTCTGCTTTTCTAATTGTGTTCTTGGCATTTAGAGTGCGGTACTTTGAAGACAGTAAGCCCTTAATAAATACTTTTTCATTCATGAAGTCACACTAATCACTTCATTCAAACTGAAAGCATTTGTTCATATGTCTGTTCGCATGTATCTTACGCATATATTTCTGTCATATGTGTATGCATCTATGTAAATACACACTTGTGTTGATCATATCTGTGTCATCAAATTATAAGTTTTTCAAGGGTAAGAACTATAACTTATTTCCTGTATTTCTCCCCTTGGTTCTGTCTACATTGTAAGGGCTCAGTAAATGTTGATTATATGAATATCTGTGTAAATAGATCATTGTAATCATTGTACATTATACAGGCAAACCCTATAGTTTGGTTTTGTTTTATGACCAGACAAGCTTAACTTCACCTCAATTTCTTGGATGTTTCAGAATATCTTTCAAATGCTTTGGATTCAGCCACCACAAAATATTCCATGGCTTTTCCCCTTATTTTTAAATCCATACTTATTTTTAAGAGAAATATGATCCGTGTGTTTCTAATTCATTTACACTTAAGTCATCAAAATGTTTTTTATAAGAGTTATTTGGTGCCCCATAATTGTTTTTTGACCTTTTTATAAGCCATTTAAGTCCTTTTTTATTGAACAGGAAAGTCACCAACAAATTCAAACCCCACAAGTTTCATTTGAAAATTATAACCCACAGAATTAAAGTTGACTTTCAAACTTGGCAAAACATATACCCTTTCAAGGTTCTTCCTAACTCTTTTATTCTATGATCTCCCATTTTTTTTTATTCCTCATGAGTTTCAGATATCAGCTACATGTTTATATTTTTATATTTATATTTTCAGCATAAAATATAAATTTAGCACCTTCATTAGAGTATTAAACAAAATGTAAAACCCTCAGCCTACAGAAATGAGTCCTTGATGTTAGCCAGTCTTCTCTGATCTTCAGAAATAAAAGCAAATAATTTAAGAGAATGTTTAGTAAGTCTTGAGTAGGTGCACTCCTATTTCTAACTTCCATTATGATCTCCTAAGTATCCCACTTCATAGGATACTGTACATATGTGGGAGCATTAGCAAATGTTTCTTTCAGAATAACTGTGGTTACTTAACACATAGTAAGCGACTGTGGCATGTGTAGTCCTTTATAGGACTATATGAGTTACATGGTGGCCATAATTTAACTTGTTCCTAAAGAGATGATTGAGTTTTTCATGAAGCAATGAGAATGTTAGTGTTGTTAATACAGTTTACAT